GGGTCTGCCTCTGGAGAGGTCGTCTCAGATGATTAGAGCAGCCGAGTGGGGAGAGTCCCTCAGTGGCTGGCCTCCTTCAGCTGCCTAATATGCTCTGAATAAGTCCCCCTCTGCTGTGCATTTGTTGTAGGCTTTGGCAGGAGGTGGGGGCATTATGTCTGGCCATGGTTTAGAAGTTTTTGTCATCTGCCCCCTTGAGGCTTGCTCTGGCTCCTTTGTCTGAGCATCAGGCATTAGTACAATGTCAAATTGCACAATGTGCCTGTGCAATCAGGGCATCACGGGTTAGGAACTGACACAGGATTTCATGTCTGGATTTTTATTCTTTCGGCAACTTAATTTTAAGGTCAAGAATTAAAATAGTCAATTACTCCATACATAGTTTGTAATATTGTTTTAATTTGCAGTAATATGCTTATTTTGTAGTCAACAAATCCACAAGCCACTTAAAATGCTCATTTAAAGCATTAACAGCAGTTACTGTATCACGCTTTCTGCTTCATCATGTAGTCAAATTATGCTTCTTTCTGTAAATGACTTGCAAGACAGATGACGTATGACAATATTCTCTGAATAATATCAGGTAGAAGCACATTTATTTTATCTATGAGTAGACCAAAGGTTTAGTTTTGAGTTGCTAAAAATAAATTTATCTTCTATGATGCACTAATGTTAAAAATAAACCTACTGTGAAGAGGAAGAGATGCTGGTTTTCCTACAGAGCTATCAATAAAGTAGAATGCTTTGCAGTCACAGTTCGCATTTGATCTAATATGTTATTGCTAGTGATAGAAATCCATCACACCTTTTAACAGCTTTGCCCTAATTTGAACAATGAAGCACTATGGCTTTGTTTGTGCCCCAGTCTCACTTTATCTTGGCACATATCACAAAAACATCAATAACTTACTGATTTGCTCTTTTTCATGTGTGAAAGCTGTCAAAACATTTTGGAGAGGTGCAGAAATCATTTAAGAATGCTGATTTTATAACACCTGTGGGCCATGCGTTAATAGATAAAGATTACTTTAATTCAAAGATTTTATATCAGTTTATAAAGAGAATCCAATTCTTGATAACCACATATAGAGTGTAGAGTTTATAGTGTAATGGTCTTCTATGGTTTCACACAGTGGATCTCTTTATGAAATTTGAAAGAAAGATACATTCATCTCCACACAATGGCTAACAAAGAGGGCACTGAGCCCTGGCCAAATATCACAAGTTACATTGAAAACAAACAAAAACGGTCTTGCTGTACACTGAGGGGGCAAAACCTTGCAGTCACTGATAGCAGTTTTGCACGATTTGGGCTCTGAGGGAGAAATGGCTTCCATGGCTTTGCATTCAGTTTCAGTCCATTTGGCCATTTAGAGAACCAGGAAAGCAAAATAAACCCTAATTTAGCTTTAAGAATTAAAAACCCACCCACATCATTATATCAGTACAGGGAAAAAGTCATTCCAGTCTAAATGTTGTTTTTTTTAATGCTTTGGGCATTATGAATCATTATTTATTATTTTCAATATCTGCTCTTCTCAAGTCATTCATGCTACTAGACAAATTTTGACTTACCAAGATACACTGCATTGATTTCTTGTATCACATTTGCCACAAACACAACTCCTTATAATGTGCAAAGGTGTGCTATAAGTTTTGACACCCCTTTTTTTTTTTTCTTGCCTTTGATTTGCTCTCATGAGTAGCACTTTTAGGTGTTTCTCTTGCAGTTACGTACCCCCCACAGACTAATTGACAGAAAACATTTCAAACAAATATAAGAAGTGCACTTGATTTGCCTCGTCTGCTTGTGGAAGTTTTTTTTTCTACTTAATTTGACTGTGCCTGAAGATATATTAAAACCATTTTATAAAGATTTCTGAATAAGCCCTGGAGATGTTTTTTATAGCTTAGGTTTTAAGGTGTGTGATAGACATATTAATGGGTGTTTGTGTGTCTGTTGGGAACGAGGGAACGAGTAATTACAGCTGTGTGTGTGTAATTGAGTTTTATTTTCCTGTCTACAGGGTTAACTTTCTGGAGGTTGGGTTGTTTTTTTTTTTGTGGGGGGGGGGGGGCTGCTATGACACTGTAGAAGAGAGGGGATAGTTGTAGCATAAAATCACTATTTGTTTAGTTTTTTTTTTCCAGATTTGTATGGATGGAAGAGGCTGTATGATATTAGGGTTAATGCCCCAGCAGATACTGTACATCAGTCTGTGCAAATTATCTATCAAGTGAAGTCAGACTTTTTTCTGGTGGTACAAGACAACAAATCCAGTACAGATGATTTTTGTGTGGACAGAAAGCCTTGAAGGTTTGCATCATGTCTGCCACATTCTCCCCAAGGGCATTATAGCCTCCTCAGATCCAGAAACACTCGCACACGCATGCAAGCTACCATTTTTCCTCACAGCTCGGCAGGCATCTGTCTTCATCTGTCCTATTGATTAATGATGCAGGCGCAGTGGGGTGTCCAAGAGAGGCAGGAGTCTAGATCAAGGCTGTAAGCTGCAACCCCTGGCAGGCAACCTACACTCACGTACAAATG